CCTCACACCACCACCAGGTCCTCTACACTACCACCAGGTCCTCACCACACTCACCACCAGTCCTCCTCACACCACCACCAGGTCCTCCCACACCACCACCAGGTCCTCTACACACCACCACCAGGTCTCCCTACACCACCACCAGGTCCTCCTACACCACCCGCAGGTCCCTCCTGCACTGCCACCGGGTCTCCTGCACCACCACCAGGTCCTCCTGCACCACCACCGGGTCACTCACACACCACCACCAGGTCCTCCTACACCACCACAGGTCACTCCTCACCACCACCAGGTCCTCCTACACCACCACCAGGTCATCCTACACTACCGCAGGTCCTGCTACCACAAGGTCATCTACACACCGAGGTCCTCCTGCATCACCGCAGGTCACTCCCTACACCACCACCAGGTCCTCCTACACCACCACCAGGTCCCTCCCACACCACCATCACAGGTCTCCTACACCACCACCAGGTCTCTCCCACACCACCACCAGGTCCTCCCCACACCACACCACCAGGTCCTCCCACACCATCACCAGGTGCCTCCCACACCACCACCAGGTCATCTACACTCCACCAGGTCTCCCACCACCAGGTTCTCCCTACACCACCAGGTCCTCACACCACCACCAGGTCCTCACACCACCACCAGGTCATCCTGCACTACCAGGTCCTCCCCACACCACCACCAGGTCCCTCCCTGCACTCAGGTCACTCCCCACACCACCACCAGGTCCTCTACACCACCAGGTCATGCCCCACCCACACCAGTTCATCACCATCGCCGGGTCCCTCCTACACCACCCAGGTCCTCACACCCTCCACCAGATCCTCACACCACCACCAGGTCCTCCTACACCACCACCAGGTCCCTCTACACCACCACCAGGTCCTCCCACACTACCACCAGGTCCTCCTGCACACACACCACCAGGTGCTCACACCACCACAGGTCTCCTGCACCACCACCACAGGTCCTCCTACACCACCACCGGTCATCCTACCACCACCAGGTCCTCCCTACACACCACCAGGTCCTCCTACACACCACCCCACCAGGTCCTCCTACACACCACCGCAGGTCGTCTACACCACCAGGTCATCTCACCACCACCACCAGGTCCTCCTACACCACCACCAGGTCCTCCTACCACCACCAGGTCCTCCTGCACTCACCACAGGTCCTCCTGCACCACCACCAGGTCCTCTACACCACCACCAGGTGGTCCTGCACCACCACCAGGTCCTCACACCACCACCGGGTCCTCCCTACACCACCACCACCAGGTCGTCCCTCACACCACCACCAGATCTACACCACCACCAGGTCCTCCTACACCACCACCAGGTCCTCCTACACTAGCACCAGGTCCTCCTGCACCACCACCAGTCTCTCACACTACCACAGGTCCTCCACACCACCACCAGGTCTCCTACACCCACCACCAGACCTCCTACACCACCACCAGGTCCTCCTACACCACCACCAGGTCCTCTACACCACCGGGTCCTCCTGCACCACCACCAGGTCCTCTCCACACCACCATCACCACAGGTCCTCCTACACCACCACCAGGTCCTCTACACCACCAGGTCACTCACACACCACCACCAGGTCCTCCTACACCACCACCAGGTCCTCACACCACCACCAGGTCCTCCTGCACCACCACCAGGTCTCCTGCACCACCCACCACCACCAGGTCTCTCACCACCACCACCAGGTCCTCCTACACCACCACTGAGTCCTACACCACCACCAGGTGCTCCTACACCACCACCAGGTCCCTCCACCACGGGTCTCCTCACCACCACCAGGTCTCCTGCACCACCACCAGGTCCTCTACACCACCACCAGGTCCTCCTACACCCACCACCAGGTCTCCCACACCACCACCAGGTCCTCCCACACCACCACCAGGTCCTCTACACCACCTCACCAGGTCCTCCTGCACCACCGCAGGTCCTCCCACACCACCACCACGGTCGTCCTGCACCACCACCAGGTCCTCTCACACCACCCAGGTCCCTCACCACCACCAGGTCCTCCTCACCACCGCAGGTCTCACCACCACCGCCAGGTCCTCTACACTACCACCAGGTCCTCTACACCACACCAGGTCCTCACACACCACCAGGTCCTCCAGGTCCTCCTACACCACCACCAGGTCCTCCTACCACCACCAGGTCACCACCACCAGGTCCTCACACCACCACCAGGTCCTCCTACACCACCACCACCAGGTCCTCCCACACCACCACCAGGTCCTCCTACCACCCAGGTCCTCCTGCCACCAGGTCACTCCACCACCACCAGGTCCTCCTACACCCACCACCAGGTCCTCCTGCACCACCACCCGGGTCCTCCTACACCACCACCAGGTCCTCCACCACCACCACCAGGTCCTCCCACACCACCACCAGGTCCCTACCACCACCAGGTCCTACACCACCCAGGTCCTCCTACACCACCACCAGGTGTCCTCACTACCACCAGGTCATCCTACCACCAGGTCCCTACACCACTGCCAGGTCCTCACACTCAGGTCCTCCCACACCACCACCAGGTCCTCCACCACCACCACCAGGTCCTACACCACCACAGGTCCTCCACACCACCACCAGGTCCCTCCACCACCACCACCAGGTCCTCCCACACCACCACCAGGTCCTCCCCACACCACCACCAGGTCCTCCTACACCCCCCCACCACCAGGTCCTCACACCACCACCAGGTCCTCCCACACCACCACCAGGTCCCTCCCACACCACCACCACCAGGTCCTCCCCACACCACCACCAGGTCCTCCCACACCACCACCACCAGGTCCTCCACACCACCAGGTCCTCCTCCACCACCACCAGGTCCTCCCACACCACCACCAGGTCCTCCTCCACCACCACCACCAGGTCCTCCCACACCACCACCAGGTCCTCCTCCACCACCACCAGGTCCCCACACCACCACCAGGTTCCTCCACTACCACCAGGTCCTCCCCACACCACCCACAGGTCCTCCTCCACCCCACCACCACCAGGTCCTCCTCCACCACCACCACCAGGTCCTCCCACACCACCACCACCAGGTCCTCACACCACCACCCAGTCCTCCACCACCACCACCAGGTCCTCCCACACCACCACCCAGGTCCTCCCACACCACCACCAGGTCCTCACACCACCACCAGTCCTCCCACACCACCACCAGGTCCTCCCACCACCACCAGGTCCTCACACCACCACCACCAGGTCCTCACCCCACCACCAGGTCCTCCTACACCACCACCACCAGGTCCTCCCCACCACCAGGTCCCCTCACCCCCCACCAGGTCCTCCCCAGCCCACCACCCCACCAGGTCCTCCACACCCCCCCTCCAGGTCCTCCCCCACACCCCCACCACCAGGTCCTCCACACCCCCACCACCAGGTCCTCCACCACCACCACCAGGTCCTCCCCCCCACCCCACCACCAGGTCCTCCTACACCACCACCACCAGGTCCTCCACACCCCCCTCCGGTCTCCCTCCCCCACCAGTCCTCCCACACACCAGGTCCTCCTACACCACCACCACCAGGTCCTCCACACCCCCACCACCAGGTCCTCCCCACCCCCACCCAGGTCTCCCACACCACCACCAGGTCCTCCCTCCCCCACCCAGGTCCTCCCCACACTACCACCAGGTCCTCCCACACCACCACCACCAGGTCTCCCCACCCACCACCAGGTCCTCCCTCACCCCCACCCAGGTCCTCCCCACACCACCACCAGGTCCTCCACCACCACCACCAGGTCCTCCCCACCCCCACCACAGGTCCTCCCACCCCCACCACCAGGTCCTCCCCACACCACCACCACAGGTCCTCACACCACCACCACCAGGTCCTCCCCACCCCCACCACCAGGTCCTCCACCCCACAGGTCTCACACACCCCCCACCACCAGGTCCTCCCACACCCCCACCACCAGGTCCTCCCCCCCACCACCAGGTCCTCCCACACCACCACCACCAGGTCCTCCCCACCACCACCACCAGGTCCCCCACCCCCACCACAGGTCCTCCCCACACCCCCCACCACCAGGTCCTCCACACCACCACCACCAGGCTCCCCACCCCCACCACCAGGTCCTCCCACACCACCACCACCAGGTCCTCCCCACCCCCCACCACCAGGTCCTCCACACACCACCACAGGTCCTCCCCACCCCCACCACCAGGTCCTCCCACACCCCCACCACCAGGTCCTCCCACACCACCACCACCAGGTCCTCCCACACCCCCCACCAGGTCCTCCACACCCCCACCACCAGGTCCTCCCACACCCCACCACCAGGTCCTCCCACACCCCCACCACCAGGTCCTCCCCCACCACCACCAGGTCCTCCCACACCACCACCAGGTCCTCCACACCCCCACCACCAGGTCTCCACACCACCACCAGGTTGAGTGCCACATACATATTAAGTATCATTACTAGACCCGGCAGTAAGATGGAAAATTAATTGTTCCGTAATGAAAACAATATAAATTAATTTTATAAAAGTAAACTATTGAGATTAATTAATTTTGTTTATTTTTCTTTTGGTGTAATTATGACGTTTTATTGACGCAATGATGATGTTTTGACTTGATGGTGATTGACATGTTACGTATTTAATGACGTTGTGATGACTTGTTGACTGAGATCCTGATTGGCTGTGAAGTTGTTTATGATGCTGTAATGACGTTTTGACCGAGATGGTGATTGGCTGTGACGTATTTGATGACGCTGTGTTATCGTGTTGCCTTAGATGCTGATTGGCTGTGAAGTTGTTTATGATGCTGTAATGACGTGTTGACCGAGATGGTGATTGGCTGTGACGTATTTGTGTGCTGTGTTATCGTGTTGCCTTAGATGCTGATTGTGTCACGTATGTAATGACGTAGTGATTATATATTCCTGGTGATTTGCTGTAACCATTGTTGTGTTTAATGTCGTAATGGTGACGTGTGTTTACAGCTGTTGCCGCCAGCCCCCGGGAAGATCGACAAGCCAGTGGGACATAACGTGAAGCTCAAGTGTTCAGTGACCGGGAAGCCTGAGCCCACAGTCACCTGGTATAAGGTAAGTACTGTAGTGTAATTAGAGAGAGAGGAAGAGAGAGAGAGAGAGAGAGAGAGAGAGAGAGAGAGAGAGAGAGAGAGAGATTGTAATTTGGGCTAAAAATTTAGTGTTATTCGGTCCAGCATGAATACAAATAGCGAGATTAGTGAAGAGATATACCCTGTGTCCACTATTGTTGCCTGGCACACACACACACACACACACACACACACACACACACACACACACACACACACACACACACACTCTCTCTTTTAACCCCCTAATTCAGCTATACCATGCACTACAGCAACCACCACCACAACCACAACCATCACCACAACCACAACCACAACCACCACCACAACCAGATTTACGTATGTTATGTGAAGTTAGGTTAGGTTAGGTTAGGTTAGGTTAGGTTAGGTTAGGTTAGGTTAGGTTAGGTTAGGTTCCCATCTTATTACATATTAAACACCTTCCAGAATATGACCCACAATGCCACATTATACCTCACTTGGTCCGCCCCAAAAACTTACTGCTACTTTTTTTTCCCCTAAAATTTCTCCCGCACAAAGTTTCCTCATTTAACACACTGGTAGAAAATGCCTAGACTTAGGGGAACTTGTTACAAAGTTCCCCTAAGTCTGGAACTTTTAGGTACAAAGTGTAATAATAATTTGAAACTTTCGTCTATTTTGAAGTGCATGAATCGAAAGTTTGATGCAGTGAAAGGGCTGTAAGGGACCCCAGATCTAATGGTTAGAGAGGTTGGGCCTGTTAGGACTCCAGGCCCATTTGACATACAACTACGCAGTCTCGTTCTTCTTCTTACAATAGTCTCTCTCTCCTCTTGCTTCTCCTACTACTGCTTTTTGTTTTGTTTTTTTAAACATGGCCTCCAGCCTCCCCCCACAGCCACACCTTCGCCATCATTTTAATTACCTAATATTAAATATCCTATCAAATAAGCAGGTTATCCTATCTGTGTTGAATTAGGCTGAGCCGCAGATCCATGCGGCATTCAGGTGACAGTAGCCCCATAGTCAATATTCCGGCGCAGTTGTCGGAGTTAGCAGAAGTTTATCGTTCCTTCTGAGAACAAAGCCGACCGAAGGGAGAGAAAAAGACAGTCGACATTCCCATTCAGGCTGTAACGAAACTTCTGGGCTGTTGCTTCTGTTCGGAGATCACCTGGCGAGTCTCATGAGAAACATCTTGCACTTGGTCCCATACCACCACAGAGGTTAACAGAACACTAGAGGAGTGAAGCTGCCTTGATCAACGTTTTAGACTTTTCCATATATGCCCTTATCTTGTCGTTCTTGTTCCTCCTATAAAAGCAGTATCGAGAGCCAGGTTGGCGTGACATGCGCCAAGCGTGATCGTAATCCTGATGTCGAAGAAAGTTTCGCCATTTCGCCATTCAGAATCTCGAGCACGGACGTCAAATATCGGGCTTCGCGATGTGTGTTTGAAGTCCTATGTTGGAAGATCTCACCATCCTAAGGAAGGAGGGTCGGTTCTACCATGATATCCTGGCAGATTTCCTTCAGCATATTTGCTGTAAGGTCCTTACTTCGTCATGCCCTGCATAAGGAAGCCTCCTTTTCACACAATTATGCAGTGATCGCCGTCATAGAAGAGTTATTATCACGATTGGGAGGGCGAACTCTCTTACTGTATTAACTGCATCTTTAGAGCAATGCATCTGTAAATTCTTGTTTGTTGGTTGACTGAAATCATCGTCTTTATTGCAACGAGTTAACCAGTTCGATAAGCCCACCCCGGTGTGTTTTATGCAGCTTATTTTTTTTTTTTCAAATTTTTCTGAACCTGCGGCGCAACAGTTGAGCAGTAAATCTCATCATTTTGGGTGAAGCAGTGCTATGATCCGTTCATGGTCGACCTACGACCCTTGCTTACTTACTGGTCTCGGACCTCTGTTACAAGGCTCTGGTTACAGGTCCGTGAGGGCTGTCAGAGCTTATGACTTTTGATGTTCGGTGGCTGCACCTTCTCTGGATTGGCTGGGTCCCATCCTTCCCAGTCTTGATGGAAGTGCAAGAAGTGCTCTTCTGCTGGGGTTGGCGGAGTGTTTCACCAGTTTGGGAATGAACTTGACACTGATAGCTTCTTCCAGAGGGTGGAGGAGGGTCCGACATCAGGAGAGGCACGACTGTGTAGTTCCAATGATGTGCTGATCTATGGGTGAATGCAGCAAAAGCCGCATGTGACCTCAGAGCAGCAATCTCAGACAGAGCTGATTTGCTCAACTCCACTTCATTCACCTTTCCTCTACGACGCTCGGTCTTGAAGTCCGCAGTGCCAATTACTGCGCCTAGATGTCTGGTCGCCCTTAGTTATTTTGATTCACTTCTGCCAAACCTCCTGCCCGTTCATAATGTTCTGGCTTCACGATGAGGAAGGACGTGCTGGCGTTTGGTGGTACCTCCTATTTGTGGACCTCACGATGTTGGCCAAGTCCCACCTTCACTTTTTGATGCTCCTCCACTTTTCCTGCTCCTGAAGGGTCGTCATATTACCGTACCACTTGTTTGACCCCAAAGAGCCAAATTTATTTGTTGGAGCACTGATAGGCCTGAGTTGCATGGCATTGTTACTTTCGCAACAGGTCCCTGTGTTGTTCCCTCGGTCGACTGTGTAAGATGGTGCATTTCCACCGTAGGCCTTTTGCTGTTTACCATATAAAGGTCTGATGGATTCCTATAGGAGTTTTTCAGCACATTGCAAGCTTGGACACTTGATCTGATGTTGCAGTGCGTCTCCTGGTGCTTAAGATATGCTGAATGTGTATTTGAAGCGTCGACCAGGAGAACGGCCCTTGACAATCACGTTGTTTCAAATATCGTTCTCATGAGGAATGGTAGCTCTTCCAGCTTGTTATTGATTACTAAACTTCCGTAGGTTCCTTCAGAAGGCTATTCTGACATCAACCTACCACCCATTATGCATTTTCCGATGATTCGCTCAGCATCCCCCCAATTTATTCGCTCACATCCTGGGATTCTTATCCAGGGGAATGAGGCGCAGCAGAAGCCGTCAGAGCATGTGAAGGTGATGGCAGCATGAGGATGCCAGCTTTCTGCAAGGACGGTAAATGGCTGCAGAGATCACTTCTGCTGCGGAGCCAAATCAGAAGTGCTGAGGATGACTTCATCCGTTTGCATCCAGACCTGAAGGGCTTGATATCTCTTCAGTGCCTACACCATCCTCTGTTATTTTCTAACAGGACAGCATTTGGTGGATATAGGCACTTCTGAAACCTGATGCCTTCTGCCATCACTTGCAGAGGATGTATTTCTTTTTCCGTTGTTTTTAATGTCTCTCTGTTTATTGGCAGGACCCTACTGGTGAAGATTCTTCAGAGGAGATCTACCGCCAAAATATTACCCTTTCTGCCACGCATTTTGTTTCCAAACTTCCTGCAGTAGCATCATCGGTGTGTTTTTTGCTTTTCCGTCTCTGCAGATTTTAGTCTCTCTCTCCTGCAGTGTTTCAGAGCCTACATAGGAGAGATCATCATGGCCTCTTCAGTGACACACATACAGTGTCAGTCTTTCTTCATTATGCCAGCTTTTTGTATGGAGTCTTTGTGTGTGCTCCTGACAGAATAGATGTGGTGATATTGCCAGTATAGTGGAAGAACTAACGGGCAAGGAGGGTGGCTCCGGAGGTATTTCAAGAGACTAATTGTCTCTCAGAATCATTTTTGCGGCTGCACACTTAGGTGGTTCAAACAGGTTTGCTGGCGTCCACCTGACAATTTCTGGTATGTTTTTTAACCCATATAAGTTCTGTTTTTCCATCGACATGCCATTCCACTTCCTGTGGTATGTCTCTCATTCAATTTCATATGGACATTGAAATGGCTGACAGCGTTTATTGAAAAGTACTACATTTGTGCTGAGGACTCATTCTCGCTATCGTTTAGGATATCATGGCTGCTGGGTCCCGGCGATATCCACGTGGGCCTCCTGTGACAGCTCCTCGCCATGAAGGTTATATGTTGCGGTAATTGTTTCCTTCTTTGCGCAAGACACATGATGGTTTGGTTGTTGCTGACAAACACAGCTAGTGCATTTTGTACTATTAGAATGAGATACAAATAATGTCTGTCATCAAGACTTTGCACCTTAAGTTTACGTCCGCCTCCATCATATGATTTATCCAGTAGCACAAGATAATACTGGTTCTAGTGAGGAAGGACGAGAGGTGACAGTATTGAACAGGTTGTGTCCATAGTAGTAGGGACGTGTTACAGGTGTGTGTAGCTACCCTCTCAATGGCGACCATCCATACATCAGAATGATACACTGTGGGATTAAGAGTTTGTCACGTACAAGCACTTAAGTTTATATATCCTTGGCAATAATAACCACTATTTATATGGTCTCACTGGTGTAATATCGAAGTTGTTACCGTGTATACCTCTCACTTCTGGTTCGTTCTCCATATCTCTACTGCACATTAAGTAGTCCATATACATTATGGTGGGGAGGCAAGAATTTAATACTACGCATTACTACTACTATTTTTTTATGGCCTTCCAGCCTCCCAATAGCCACACCTTCGCCAGAATTATTTATTTTACCTTAATATTAAATATTCAATACATAAGTAGCTATCCTGTCTGTGTAATTAGTTGAGTCAAGAGATCTAGCGCGGCATTCAGTGACAGTAGCCTCATAGTTTAACATTCTGCAGGTTATTTCCTATAGGGGCAGAAGCTCTGTTTCTCACAGGGCAAGAAAGAAGCTGTTCAGGTTAGAGAGAAAAGATACCATATCTCATCCAGGTTGTGTGTAACATAAATTCTGGGCTGCTGCTTCTGTTCGAGACTACTTCCAGAGTCTGGCGGTGAAACATTCTTGCACTTGGTCTCATCCCCACCAGAGGGGCTAAACACTAGAGGAGTGAAGCTGCCCCTGACTGAACGTTTCTTGAATTCTCTCTCCCCATGCTCCTTTCTCTCTTTGCGCCTGTTCTTGGGCTCCTCC